GTATAAGGCAAACACATACAGCGGTGACCTGTGTTTTACCCCACCAGATCAATGCAGATAATTGCTAGGGCACCGAGAAAACCCTGTTCACACCACGGGGTGCGGTTGTGATGAGCGATGTGCTGTGGAAAAATACAGAATGCTGCATTTTTTCACTGTGTCATGGATGCCACCACTGGTGCGTTGTATTGCAGTGCGGGGACCTGATGGAGAGTATACATTCAGGCACCAGCCCGCCTGCCCAAACACAGCATTATAGCAGACGAGCTAGTGTAAATGGGTTTTTATAGTTGCATGGGAACAGTAGGGGTGATATGTAGGGGGAACTTTAATGTCTGCTTATTTAAATGTATTTCCAAGGAGAGATAACCCATCACTGTATATGTATGTGAGATGCACAGTTTGTAGTTACCAGCTAGACTGGGGGGTCAGCCAGTTAAACAAAATATTCATTACCGAGTTCTTGCATACTGGCATATTGACTAAATATATCTGGTAGTCTTTTCCATGTGAATGTATGTTTAGACCGCTCCAAAACTGCAGGAAAATAGTTCTTATTATATTGATGCATGTTTGAAAAATCCTGATTGCTGCATCTTTTGTGCAGCTCTTAAAAAAATTTGCATTTCCTTATAGTCAATTGTGACATACTCAAAGTGCACTAAAGAACAATAAAAGGAAAAAGCTAATTAAGTGCATATAAAATGCATCTTACATTGCATGAAATCAAACCAGAATGTGTTAAAAATGCCAGTGCATTTTCATAGCAAAACGCAAATGGTGTGAATGGACCCTCTATAGCCTTGGTTCTCAACTGGTGGGTCGCGACCCCATGTTCAGTGGGTTTCCACTTTTCTAGGTGAGAGGCTCCTCTGCCTCCCCCAAGCACAGCACTGTCAGTTCTCGCACCAAGCAGCCATTCAAAATACGCTGCCCAGCGCCAAGTGTCAGCTTAAGGTGGGATGGGATGGGGCTATGGCCATGAGGGAGCTCCATCCATACGTGCAATGCTTACAACTCCCTCACGTGTCCTATATAGGTGCCAAGGTGACATCACATTCTGGCTCCCCCCACCTCTACAGGGCACACAAGGGAGCTGTACAAGCAATGCATATATGGATGGAGCGCCGTCAAATCACAGCATTTCACACTGGACCCAAGGCTGAGGATCCACTCCAATTCTCATAAGGTAGGGAGACTGGGTGGACCCCAAAAAAATTTAATTACATCTAAAAAAAATTGGAGTTTTGGAGTGTGAATGTGCGAATGTCTGAATGTGTGAGATTGTAATTATGTATGTATGTCAGTGTTTTTGAGGGCCCATTCACACTAGTACAGTGCATTAACCACATAGTACCGTGGAATTAACGCACTGTACCACACAATCGCACTGATTCTGGTGTGGAAGGTGTGTTGTCATTTGAATGGTACCCCAAACGCACCTTCCACCCACATTTCGTACACCAGATGCGTGGTACCCTAATACCGTGCATTCCAATGCAGTGCGACTTAGGTCGCGACTTAATGATCAAGGACAAATGTAGGTCCTGAGGTTACACAGGTTGAGAACCACTGCTGTATAGGGAGTAGGAGGCAATCTTATCTCTACTTTATCAGCAGAAAATTCCAATTCGTGTGATCACCAGCTATTCAATTACCAGACAATCTATAGGAGTGCTTATATATTATAGATAAAGTGATTATCAAATAAATGACTGTACATGCATCAAGCTTTATCCTTGAAAGCATATCTTAAGTGTTGTGATAAACTTATTTGCATGTGTCTCTGACATTGCACAGTTTTTTCGGTTTTTATAGATATAGCAACAACGTATTGAAAAGGCATATAGTAGTGTCATATAAAGTTAAGTAAATAATTAACTGCCTACCGTGAGAGCAGATGTTTTTATCCATTTATCTTAAGGTATTTTATGTGTTTTATGCACTCCTTGTTATTTAAGCAATTCTAAATCATCTAATTCACATGAGTCCAGAGTGAAAAGTTTATAATATCATATTATCACAATGTATAAATCATTCACAAAATACAGCATAAATCTTCAAAAAGAGGAACCTCATCTCTTTAAATGGACCCAGAGATAACCAGTATTGCAGAGTGACTCTGTATAAATAGATATTCTGATACACAAATTTACGTTATAAGTCTTGGGCAGATAATCAATATAGAGTAGAGTTCTCTCTCTAAATTCAAGATCCTCATCAACAACAAATTAGAGAAGCACTGGTCAGAGAAGCAAGTTTGGAATTAATGGATTATCACCGGGAAACCTCAAGATTTGGATCCCATTTCAGAAGAAACTCTCCATGAAAAATAGCGCACAGGTGAAGCAGAATCAGAAATATTTAACGGAGACCTTTGTGCAAAGAAAATCCTGGTCCAGGAGTATTCTAGACTTTCAGATATTACATTTACCTTCAGACCAACAACTGCAAATCATAACCCAAAATTATAGCTCAAACTGATCTTGAGAACTGAATAGAGGAAGGTTCAAGAAACTTTAAATCCATCTACACAATTAGTGGAAGTCCATCTGAAGTGTAACAGGTAAGGTGCTGGTTATGAAAAACTGATCACTGCAAATTTGCTCCTAGCAAGGGTCAACCCAGCCATACACTTGCATATCTGGTCTCCAGCAGCTGGAATGCTGCTAATTGAGGCATATGCATGTCTGGTAGCACATGTTATTCAGCAATAGAGAACAAAGAAGCCATTTATGGTGCCCTCATGGGATAGCTCATTCCTATATGAGCTATCCCACTCTGTTTTTTGTTTTTTTTCAATATTGCCCAAATATCATTTAAATGTTGATTATGTTTTATTAAAGTGCCATTGTTGTAAAAGCTGTGACATGATATGAGATGATATATTTATATTCAGGGGACACTTAAAATAACTGTTATTGGTAAAAATACTGCATGCTCATGTTTAAAACTAGGCAATAGCATGTTTTTAAATTGAAGTGTATATTAAATCAAAACATTTTTATATTTCTAGTTAGTTTAGTCTTAGTTTTAAGAGTAGGGAATGATTAAAATGTAAAAACCCTGTTTTTTCCTTTCCATTGGGGACATATTCCTTCAACTCCTCTCAAGAGAGAGAGAGCCGGAAAAGAAAGGAGATCTATCCAAAGCAAAGGAAATCTTTTCTTTGACGTTTATCATAGGTGTTCCCTTTGGAGGATTTTCCCTCTATTCATGTTCCAGTCACAACTCAAAAATTGTGTTTTTTCCATCACTTCTCAACCAATGACAATTGTCACCAGGACAAACAGAGTGGGTGAGTCTACCTATCGGGCAATGCAAGCATTCAACAAATATATAAGGCAAGAAAACTTAGTAGGGATATAAAAAGCAATCAAAATTGGATGGGCACTCTTCTTTAATAAACACTTTGAGAACTGTTTGATGAATATAAAACAGAAAAGGTCTAAGTTCTATATACTCATCTGGACTGAAACAAACAAGTCCGCAATGCTTTGACAACCTGGGTTAAATTATGGTTCACAAGTGGTACGGTCAATAACTTGTTTGTTAAACTAAATTTAATTTATACCACCGCCCTGGAAGAAGTTACAGCCGCCCTGGTTAAGGTTATGCAGTAAATTATAGATCGGTCATAAGCTGCAGATGGTTCACTAAAACCTAACAATCAGTCTTATCTAAGATACATGATATGAGATAAGATTCCATTATTGGAGTGTTATTCTAACAATGGCACCAAGAACTTTCACCTCTAGTATCAACTGTGCCATGGACCTGGGCAATTCTAATCATATACAATCCATTACATAACAGTACTTTTACATTATGCAGGAGCCATAGACTTTATTTGCTGCGCGTGACTTGGCAATTCATCTATGTGGGATCATTTCTTCAACCTTTCATGGAAACCTGCTTATAAAAAGCATGCAATAGTCCTAGTTAGACTATTCAGTCATTGACCTGAAGATAGCTTTAGCTTAAGTAAATACAGCTACCTTTTACAAAGTCAACATTGTATATCCTGAAAAGTCTCTATCCAGCTACACATCTACTTTCTGCAGTCTGAGGGTTAGAGTTTCTGTATGCTGGCGCTAACCCTACATGTGTTTATATATTTTTGCCATCATGCACGTACAGAACACTGTATAAGTCCTCATTTGAAGTAATTTGCCAACACTAATCTTTTAGAAGCCTCACATATTGCCATGGAAGCTGATTATAATAAACGCTCAGTTCTATCCAAAACTTTTTTAAATTTTGTACAAAGGTATAGGGATTTATTTGCTATAGCTTACTAGTCCACTAAGCGTTACTGGCTGCAGTAGCACAGAAGAGAGGATCGAAGAAAACAGGACACTTATCTACTGAACTTTTGACGTCCATAAAGTCCTGACATTCATTTGCAGACAGTATTCTAAGCCCTGATGAAGAGAGATGGTATTAACCCCTGAAACATGTTGTAATCATTTGTGTCATCTGATTATAAAATAATATGCACACTTTTTGACTCTACAGTTATTGCTATGGTGCTGCTATTGCTTTTTTATACTACAGCACAATGTACTTTATTGAGACTGTGTGGTGTACACTCTGTGAGTCAGGGGCTTTATCTATTTAGTAGTATCTCCCAGTTAGAACATCTGTCATATTTTCAATGCTCTCTGTCTTCCTGTCCTAGTAACACCCGTACACCCTTATTTCTACTCCTGGTGTCACTGGACAGGAAGTATGAGTAAATCTCCTCAATGAGAACACAGATGGCAATATAAAGTTGATACATGGTTTTTCTTACCAACTCTTACCCAATAAAAATTTAGACTGGAGCTTGGCTTTAAAAAGATATCAACGTCGAGATTCACCTTCTGTACCTTTACCATACTGTGAAACATTTTATAAACATATAAGATGCATAGATGTTAAAGAATATCACTGTGAAGCCAGTAGGCCTGTGAACTCAGCAATAATTTATTTTTTAAATTTTCTTCCAGGTATTGAATATGGGTGACATTGGGGTTGATGATATTTCCACAGTCATGCCCACATCCTCAGAGTCAGATGCTAAGTTTGAGAAAACCAGTATCGATGATAATATCTCGACTCACGCTGAACCCCTTGTTTTGATGAAGAAAGGAGGGCGACTGTTCTCTGGACTTTTAGGGCTAAATGTGTTGCTCCTAGCTAGTGTTCTAGTTAGTAGCGCTGCCTTCAGTGATGTAGCAGTAGTTGAGCGTGAGGTGCTCTCTTTGCTGTGTGTTCTTATGGGCCTTACTGCTTGCTGGATGATTGTGTACCTTACCTGGACATCAAAAAAGAAGAACTATAGAAACCTGAAGGATTCACATGCTGGTCCCATCTGGCTAAAAGGTAAGAAATATGCCATATTTCAGAGTTTGTTATCAACCATAAAGAGAACATGAGGTGTAGTTTTGTAATACATGCCATCCAAGCCTTAGAAGACCTGACAGGTAAGGTATATTAACAGAACCATATGTAATTGTATCAATACATATAGTAGAGGTATGTATCCTGCCAGATGTGATTATTCGTGGTAGATTGCAAGAGATGGATGCTTGTTTTTTTGGGAGTGGGAACCCACACACTCTTTGACCCAAGAAACACCTTTTCCGACATCTGCAGTTTCAATTAGCAGTAGTAAAGTCAGTTCAGCATGCAGGAAATGTAATGGGAAGAGGAAAGATGGTAGCGCTTTTCTGAATTAGGACAGTGGAAGACTGCTGCTGTAGTACTGTGCCCTCAACGTAATTTATATAATAAAATCTTTAGGCATTAAAGGCAGTGGAAAATTAGTCACAAGAGTGTAAGCGCATCTGGCATTACTTAAAAGTTTTCCAGGTTGCATTTTTTACTTGGCCGGAAAGCTGACACTTTCTGAGTTGTTTTCATTTTCACTCTAAGAAAATTCTCACACTAGTCATAATGACAGCGCATTTGAAAAATTGCTAAAGGTGCCCACACACCTTGCGATAATCGTACGATAATCGCGGGAAATCCCACGATCGTACGATTATCGTAAGGTGTGTGCAAAAGCCACGCGACCTCTACTACTGTAAGGTCGCACGACTTTTATCTTAGGAACATGTTCGAAAACCCGCCGAGCATCGTACGATGTTCGGCGGGTGTGTAGCATGTTCATAACATAAAAGCCAGACGGGCCGTTGTGTGCAAGTGCACACTGCCCGTTCGTCATTGCGGTCATCGGAAGCCCGCCCCTCAGGGGGGCACAGCTTGCGATCATCGCAAGTACGATCTGCCTGTCCAAGATAGGCAGATCATACGTTTTTTTAATTACCTTACAACCATCGCAAGACAAAAGTCTTGCAATGGTTGTAAGGTGTGTGCCCAGCCTAACAAAGATGCGGAATTGTTTTTAGCTTGGTAGCAAAGCTGACATATGTTAAATCGTTAACCTTTGGCATTCCAAAATATGATGCCAGTAGGATTGTACATCTGATTCACCACATTGGAAAGTTGCTAACAAAGCAAACTTGGCAGCATTTTTTTGTTTGCTTCATCATGGCAGCAAAGCTTACCCTTTTTCAAACTGCTGACTTTGTTCATTCTGGCATTGTGCATCAAGTACTCTCATACTAATCACTTTGCAGCAAGAGCATTTGATAAATTGCCAACAGAGTAAACTGCCAGGCTGTTTTTTGTTAACTTGGCAGCAAAGCTAGCAAGTGTTAAACGACAAGTGCCAGTCTGTATTCTTTCTACTGGCATGAAAATGTGGCACTTGGTGAGTTGTTAAATTTTTTCACTTTGAGAAAAAGTACATCTGACACTTTGCCATTTTGGTAAAATTGCCACCAAAGGACACTGGTCTTCTACTGGCCTGCTTTTCTTTGTACTAGTGTGCATGCACGCCGTATTCTCCATTAGTTCCTATAAAGAGTTTTTTTAGTGGGACAGGCAAAGTACGATCTCTCCATAGGATTGAGAATTATGTGGACAACTTATTTATAGCATGTAAAGCCAGTTTACAGCTTCTGGAGTGACCAAGATACTTTACAAAATTGCTGGATTTTTGAATTGCATTGTTTGATAGAACCAGATAGAACCATATACAGCATATATATATATATTCTGTTATTGCTGTCTCTGTTTTCTTTGGGAAATTCTCCTCCAATCTAATCACAGTGGTCAGGAAGTAAAGGGAATCTCCCCAAAGGAACATAAAAAGATCGAGATTTTATCTTTAATAAAAGCTTTTTGCCGGCTGCCATTGTGTCACTATTAGAGATATTTTCTCTCAATTCATTATAGATAAAATGTGAAGAAAAAATATTTACAGATAAGGCGATTCCTATAAGGAGTCAAAACATTACCTCGTACGGTGTGAAAAAATCAATGTGTTATCTTGCTTGTTTCTGTTGTATAGGTTGTATAGAGAGACAGATGACAAAATAAAGATATTCATTTAGGGTGGAGGGAGAACAGATATGGGAAACAACACAAAGACAATAACATAGAGTTCAGCAGTCAACCTACAGATTAGGCTTTACCGCAGTCTGAAAAGCAATCCGTGATAGATTGCTTTTCAAAAGACGGTTGACAGCTGATTAGCAGGCGTCCAGGAGTGAATATTTTTGCTCCATATTTTATCGTAGAGCTAGCATGTGTGGAGTCAAACAGCTTGTATTTGATCCACCAAGCTATTACTGAAGGTTAGAAGGTGCGCTATAAGGGATAGGAGTTATGACTTACTTCTCACCCCCAATAATTGCTAATTGACCTGCAGTTCGTCTGGAGTGTCCCATGAAAAGACTCAGGATCTAATGACTCCTAGCTGTGCGGGAACACAAGGGTGCCCCTAGCCTTTTAGCCGCCTGAGGCCGGGCGGTACATGCAACTGAGGGGGTGTTGCCAGGGGGGTGTACTGGGGATGCATGCATCCGGTAGGGGTGCTTGTGGAGAGTGACGCTGCTAAGAGCCGAGTGGGGAGATGTGTGATAGCTCTGCATCTCCCCACCCTGCTCCTGGCAACCTGGGATGCTATGGCTAGGGTCTCGACGAGGTCCTGGCAGCCAGTGATGTAATTAGCCAGGCAGGTTCCCGGCAAGAGCTTCCCAGGTTACTAATAGCTGGATGGACAGATGTGTATAGCCCTTACACATCTCCCCTCCCGGTTCTGAGCAATCTGGGACACTCTGGCCAGAAAGTGGGCAACAGGCACACTGCAAACATTGTGACCCAAAGAGATGCCTCAATAAAGGGAGAGCCCAACAGGCACACTAGTAAACATTTGCCCTTCCTTGCCACTGTATTGTTAGAATGTCTGAAATAACTTTTCTCTGGCTGATAAGCGAAAAAATGAACCGAAATCTGACATCTCTTCTTGACACTGGCCAAGATCTTTGTGCAGATCTAAGGAGTTCAGCTGATATCTAATCTCCTATTACAGTATTGACCTAGGAATTGTGCAACAGCTATTCCTCTGCTTATCAAGTATGCAAAATATATTTAAGACGTCATAAAGGCTTTATCAGTGTGCAGTGTTTGTATGGTTGCTACTATTCACTTGTGCTGCTATGGAGGTTTATGAACTAATGAATTTATGGGTGGTGGTGATACAGTAATTTTGTTTCTGGTCAGATTTTTTAGAGCAGTGGACTGTATCACCTCATCGAGATGCAATACTGATAACTCATGTGGATATTTCTTATTGAGATATATAACATTTTTTCAGCCGAAAGATATTAGATATTACAGATGAATACTTTGCATTTTTATATCCAGCCACCAGGTTGAGTTCGATGCTACTTTTAATAAGGTTCCCGGGCAATCTGAAGCTGCCTAATTGAAACCTGTTTTTTTACAGAGCGTAAAGCTGAATTCAAGCAGATATAAAAGTCATAATTTCATGCGCACTGTGGTGTTCACCTTCCCTTAGATGAGGGTTCTTTAACTAGGTACTGTGCAATCATTTTAGTGTTATCAGTTGTCATTTTTATGAGATCTGCCTCAATGCCCAATACCCAACATTATAAAACCCAAATGAAATTTCAGAAAGCCTAGTGTTAGTGTCTCCATGTTAGTGACATCTTTTCCAGAGACCTCTATGCCTGGCCTGAATAAAGAAGAGACAAGCACTACGGACAATGTTTGCAGACATCTCAACTACTGTCACCTATCCAGCGATCTCTCCATCCCTCCGCAGCCAGCTCCAAAATATCCATTGTCAGCACCTAAAGAGAACAGTGACTTAACACCCTTTGTCATATAACAGTCCTCAGGTTTAGTAATAGGTCACTGGACCCAAGGGCAGTCACATAGGAAGAGGTGACATACTACTCCATACTTGGAGATGTGCATATCAGGGGGGTTGGGGGGCCTTTAACAGACATTGTCACCTTTCAAATAATGTCCATAGCAGCAGATATCTGTCCATATTATAAGCAGATGAAACCGTGCAGAGAAAGAAACAGACCTGCCCTCAATGGAAATATTTAATTCCTCCAATAATACACCACTCCTTTAACTCATTCAGCTGTGTGTATAATCTGAGCTTTTGCTTTTTGGCTCTGTAAACAACAAACTTTTTTGTTGTTGTTTTTTTTAGCATAGCAGTCACAATTAGCCTGGTAAAAATTATAAAATGAGTTAAGGCTTTCAGCTGCTGGTCTGATGGTCATTTCACAGATTTAGGACTTATTGCACAGGTGGCAACCTATCACGGCACCATGCTTGAATGTACTGAGCTAGTGGAGGGGTGTCCCAATACTTTTGGCAATACAGTGTATATATACGTTATTTTTAAACACAATACCATATGCAGAATAAACACAAATGATATGAATTATATCCAGCTAAAAAAAATCTAAAATGTTCAACAATATCTTTTTTTTTCATTAGTGGGTCTGGTTGTCTTTGGAGTCTGCACTTTGGTTCTCGATGTGCTGAAGATTGGTAAATCAGCCAGTTTGATGCACTGTGAATCTCCAATCAAAATTATTTACCCAATCTTCCAGGGAGTGTTTGTTGTCATACAGGTCAGATGTAGCAACTTAATTCTGCAACATTTCCTACTATCATGATGTTATGTTATGTAACGTTACTTTACATGTGGGCTCAATTTCGGTAAATATCTTTTTTTGTTGAGAGGGCGAGGTCATAGGGGAGAGTTGCCACTATGCTAAAGTTTTACAGAGGGTGCAATGCAGTTTACATTTTCTTATAGACATAAAATTATTATGGCTGGTCCATGTTCATGATGACCCCAGTCACTTGGTGGAGAATGGATTATCTAAAAGAAATAAATAAGGCCATGGCATGAAAAGAATCCAGCAAGGATATTGTGCTTGCAAAGGTTGTGCAGCACGATCAGGGTTGCACAGTTAAAGAGGGAAACAAACTCAAGTAATGATTTACTATGTTATAGGGGAAATTTTGAAATGTTAATTGTGCCTAAGCAGTTTCCAGAAAATTGTACTGTTTGTCTCCTGTGAAAAATAGCAGTGCACTTTCTGGTATGTGATGGTGCCTGGGCACTCCTGTGACAACAACATCATAGCTGTATATCTACATTGCGAAATCTCAAGCACTGCAGCCTCTGACTAGTCTTAGGAGATTTGATGATGTCACTACAGTGCTGCTTACTGTTCTCTTTGCTGGATGCTCCAACATGAGGAAGCAAAACCCTGCCTCTACAAAGATGACTGCCTAGACACAGGGCCGCAGTGCAGAACAAGGCATTGAAAGTCAATAATGGGGAAAAATCAACTGTAGGGAGACTAGAGGTAATACTAGTGGCTGATCCTTTGCCCTCTGCATGCCTTTTTTTTAGGCAGAGCTTCCAGAGTCCAGTTGCTTCTAGATCCTGGGAATGGGAAAGAAGGTAAGTATTTCACCTTGCCCACTGCAGTCAGAAGACAAAATATAATTAGGTGATTAGCTATAGAGGGAGTCATGTGATTTAAACTTTGGTGGGGGGCCCTGGCCTAAAGCTTTAAGAATCAGAAACCTCTGGGCCATGTAGTCTGTTAGGCTAGGTTCACATCTGGGCGATTCCTGAACGCATGTCAATTGTGCACAAAACCACGCGGATTGCCGGGTGGTAACGGAGTCTCCCACCACAGCTGAATGCGTTGGTGGTGCCATTATTTTCTAAAGGCACCCCAGTCATGCTGGGCCGATTGCGCGGTTTCCCACCGCGATTCTGTCCATGCAATTAAACATGATCGCAGCTAAAAAAAAAAAGCCAAGTTTCGCGTGTCGCAAAAAAAGGTATTGTACCTTTTTTTAGCGATTGCTGTGCGGATGTAACCCCATTGAATCAATGGAGCCGCGCCGGCAATCGCTGTGTGTAACTGAACACGACCGCGCAGTCCCGGGATGGGCGTCCAGGATCGCTCAGATCTGAACCTAGCCTTAATGTTACAATAGTGTATGCTGGTATTAGATTGTTCTTGGTCTTGTGATCCTGTGTAGGTTGTTAAACCTCAGTTGTGTTGTCAAGTCTTTAGTTAAAATAAACCTTCAGCTTATAAACAAAGTCATGTGATTGACATGCAGCAATTACATGGTGATCACATGACCTTGTATATAAATAAATGGTAAGGGTTAGCATTAGACCTCATTCACATGGGTTTTGCTGATTTTAAATGCTTTTTTTAAAACTTTGCAAAGCCAACACCTGTCCTGTAACATAAAAGAGAACTGTCTAGTACACATAAAATTCAAAATGTGTTTGCAACACTTTGCTTCGCATTGCTTTTTATCACGTAACTGTTTGCCAGGGTTGGCACCTCACAAAGTTGAACAAACACCTCCATACAAGTCAGTGATAGTGTTCCCTAAACATGCCCTAAGTAGGCTATACACTGTGCTAATTTTGGTCGGTTCTTGATGTGGGTGCCCCTGTCAGCACTCTTCTGCCCGGCATCCCTCATTTAGCTGATCGAAGGAGCAGGTTGGAAAATCCTCAGCTGAACAGAGCTTGCAGCCAAACAGCTGCAAGCTCCTTTCAGGTAAGTGGGGATTCCTCCATCCATATTCGTATGCATTGATGGAGGAATCTGTTATATTTTCTACGTTCAGCCCGCAGGTTGAATGAAGGAAATATAACCGTGTTTACCCAGTTTTAGATGGCATTTTGGAGACTTTTGCTTTAATGACCTTGCTTTAATTAATAAATACGACATTCTGAAAACATTGACAGTGTTTCACAAATGCCTCTTAAATAAATATAAAAAATGCTATATTAGATTCACAGTGTTCTAACACGCCCCTGTGAACCTAATCATAGGGTAAGGGCCGGCTTTGTTTACGAAATGAATTTCACCTAAGCATCTGATTAGCTGAAGTTGATACTAGCTTCAACAAAATTTCAGTGGAGGCAAAAAATTACTCAGCTGAAATCTAGTTCTAATTCTTCCTCGTTCGATCCTAAACTAAAGAAAAAAAATATTTTGAGTAGAAGCCTATTTTTAAGTGAATGTGTACCCAAAACTTTTTAAAAATCTTGAATGAAGTAGGGAAGGGTTAAACCCTTGTCAGTTTATTTTTTGCTGCCTGTGTCCCTTTGTGGAGGTATCACTTCCTGTTCTGGAGACTTAACAGGAAGGCAAATTGACAGGGTTATTCACTAAAGGGTGAAGAGTTTGGAGAATGCAGGAGAAGTGAACAATCTAGGACAACATAGCTGAACTGGAAAGTGAGCTGAATTGGAGAATTTTTCAGAATTGGCTATTTTGGCCCAAGATCGTTCACTTCTCCTGCCTTCTCCAAACTCTTCACCCGTTTGTGAATAGCCCTGTACATCTTTACAAAATGAGGGGAAATCCTTTAATAGGCAATTGTCAACAGAACCAGTGTCCCCATTGGAAGATTTCTCATTACCTTGGTTCAGGGGACAGCTCTAAAATGTTGGAATTCCAATTTTTCTGTTCCAGTGACTATGGTCACCATGACAAACAGAGAGAGTAAATCTTCCCAGCAGGTACTTAGACAGCAAAAAAAACAAAAACGGGGTCCTAATTCGCCTCTACTCTATCCAAAATATAATAGTTTTGGCTTATTACACTTTATTCAGTTATCTTCCAATCGCGGGTCCAGTGTTTACTTTTGCTCTGGCTAAAAGGAAAACATATCTCCACAGATCTTTTAGTCTTTCACCATGGGGATCTGCTGTTTGTAATCTGTGTATATATTATCTCCTTCCACAGACATACTTTCTTTGGGTAGCCAGTAAAGACTGTGTTCAGATCCACACGAATCTCACCAGGTAAGACCAGAATGAAAACAAGAGTATCTGGTGCTATTTTTATTTCCATTATTTATTTACTTTAATTGTTTATTAAAGTAAATAAATATACAGAAAAAATAATGGGTATAGAACATCCCTATCAAATATGTTCAAAGATGATCATGTCTAGCATTGTGTTTATCAACTCTATGCAAACATTTCTTTTGTAGTTTGAATCTATCGTCATTCTGCATGACTTGTATGGCATTTGATCTTTATGTAATAGTGTCTAATATTATTTGAAGATATCCAAATGTACAAAGACACACTGCTCCTCCACAACTTAGCAGGGGAAAGGAACCAGGTGCTCATTGGTAGGAGCACGCCCTTGCTCTGAATTTACAAGCTCAAGGCAGAAAAGATCCCAAAAGATCAGAATAAAATCAAGATTTAGCCTGATTGGGTGAAACGTGTCAGTGGGGGTCGGACCGTGCGGAATCTCTAGTAAACTGCTTTGGTGTCATACAGTGTGCGAATGGATCTTTTCTGCTTTGAGAGTATTTGAACGGCGTTGACCTGATCCTCTGAGGACTAATAACAGTATTAAATGTCTATGTGTCCACATCCTTGGGTCAGATTAATCTCAATGCACAAGCAAAAAAGATAAAGTCTTGGACTGTCCAAAAGACAACACCAAGTTAGCACTATATTTTTTGGTTGGAGCTGTTGTCTACAGTAAACAATAATTACATTACTGTTATATTCTCACGCACAGGAAAATAAATGGAGGTGAACAATTGCCTGCTTCTTATGGACATCATGTTTTTTTCTTCCAGTAGTACATAAAATGTATTTGCAGCCAACATTTTTATATGATTTGAGCATTGAATAGAGAAGAGCACGATTAGAGCCTCTGTGAATTTTTTTAAGATTTTCCCTCACTTCCTGTCCCATGATAATACCAGGATAGGAAATAGGAAGTGAAGGGAAATCTCTCTAATGGGACACAAAGTCAATAAGAACACTTTTTTATTAAAGCTGACCTTGCACTTAAATGCAAGGCCTGCTTATTATGCCAATGCCAATCGCCACATAATAGCTTAAAAACAAAAATGTGGGAAATGTTGCCTTGTGGCAAGATCCTGAGAATATTGAGGATCCCAAATCTCACAAGAAGACGCTACAGCACATTGCAGGAGCTCTTTTTAGGCAAGCTTTTACAGGAGGCCGCGTTGAGGCCTCGTAATGTCACCAGCACCTAGGATCCATGGAAGCTAGGATCCATGGTAAGTATGGTTTGTTATTATTTTCTGACCAACTCTGGACTCACGCAATGTGCATCCAGACGAGTGTTTCTGCAGAGTTTTTTGCACACATTGGACGCAGGTAATCGACCAGGGGAATGCAGCCATGGCACACAGTGCAGCTGCATCCAGTGGCAGTGTTTAGCCTCCAATGAACGCAGCAGAGTAGCTGCCCCAGATCGTCCATGTGAATGTAGCCTAAGAGCTTTTTTTTTTAAGCAGATGGGGCGCCTGTAATTAAAGCAGACCTGTGGGGGTTTTTTTTGAAAGTGTGGAAATTTAGAACCCATACCAGGCATTTTAAATTGTGGTCTGTCTCCCTATGGAAAATTCTCAGGTGCATTATAGCAATATGATCAAAGTAATAGAGGATACTGCTATGACGGATGGCGCAATCAATATCTATTAGGAAGTGCGTGGTTTATCGCCAGCACAAATAGCTGTCTGTCAAAAGCAAATATTTAATTATCACATTGAAGCAAAGAGAACTCCTTTAATAGAGTCTTCCTTCTTGGGACAGAAAGCAGTGGGAAATCTTTCTAATGGCTTCACAGGCTACAACAAAACATTTGTTTTGTAAAATTGGGAAGATATAGAACAGGGGTGGGCAAAATCTGGCCCTCCAGCTATGGTGAAACTACAGATTCCATCATGCATCTGCCTCTGGAAGTCATGCCTGTGGCTGTCAGAGACTTGCTCTGCTTAGAGTCTTGCGTGGCATTTGTAGTTACACCACAGCTGGAGGGCTGGAATTTGCCCACTCCTGATCTGGAACCTCTGTCAAGTTAATTCTGCTTTCTGTGCATTATTATCCCAGTGATGTCCACTTCCCTTATTTCTTGACCTAGTTTTACAGGGACAGGAAGTGAGGTGAAATGTCCCCAACATGGTCACATACAGCAATAACATCTTAGAGAAGTATCAAATCTTCAAAAGTCTATGCAAAACTAAGAATAACTGTCAAAGCTGGTGTTGGACGTTAATTGTTTTTTTTTAAACACCTCTTTTTTGGACAGTGTTTTCTGATGAATGCCTGTATTTTAGGTGTGGTCTTATGCTGACTCTAAGCACTAACCTATCAGTATGGATGACAGCTGTGACTGATGAATCTCTTCATCAGACTCCAAGTAATGATAATTCATCCGGTGGACACAGGATGTTGAGAGGTAAGAGTGTGAAAAAAAGCAAAAATAACTCAGATAAAGAGAAAGTATAAATATGTTGAGTTATAAGTAATGGCTTATATACAAAGGCATTGGATGCAGAAGCAAATTCAATGCTTGAGTGGATTTGGATGTCTGTTCCACCCAACTAGGTACATTTTTCTAATGAGGAAGCAGTGCTAGTAAACAGAAATGCAGCCTTAGGCGTGGTTTAGACCCAGAAGTATTATTCCCACCAAACAATTCACTACGTACTCTACTGCACTTAGCTTTTTGGCTCATTAAACAATTTCAGGCCTGGCATCAGGGTTCTACCTGGTACATAATATAAACATGCCCTGAGTGGTGCTCCACCTTTCCTGTTGTTTATACAGAGTCTAAAGGTGATTGCACAGGTACTAATTATTGGGTAGATTCAGTTGCCATACACAAGGACCACTGCCTGCTATCTAAAACTATTTGTATATGTGCATGTAGGGCACACCAACCCCAGAGAGCTGGAGCAACTCTAGGTAATAAAGTCTACTTATATCGTTTATGAATGAACCAAATTTCAAAGCATTTCAGGTGTCAAGAACGTCACCTTCATTTGGGTTGACTGATGTATACAACTTGTGTGAGCGATGTTGACACGCCAAAATTGTGTTGTGGTGTTCTGCTGTCAATTTGCTATATGAACCAATGCTAGCAGACTGCAGATGTGCCGGAATTAAAATCCAGACTTGCAGTGTAGAATGGACCTTTATGAAACCTAAACTTTCTCTGTCTATTGGATATCCAAGGTTCCATTCTTTAACTGTAGCAACTTTGTCCTGAGTGCCCCAGCTTCAAATGATCAGGACCCACATATTGGAGGTATTCCCCTGGGGCTACCATCTGTTATCTCTGATCAAGTGCCGCCACCCATTAACAATAGAATTTTCAAAATGCCAGGATAGTAAAAGTCTCCATCAGTGTGTGGAGGCAGTTCTACTATAACTGTTTCTCATATGTGAACATTTTTCTTAGTTTTGCGTACAGTGGGGAAGGATTAGAACGTCATTCAAGTTTTCAGGGCCCTGCTAAAGAAATGTCACCTCATTTCCTTTTCTGGCGACACAACAGGAAGTGAGAAGGAAACATTTCCTTTAAAATTTCCACTAGATGTAACTAGAGGTTTATCATGTTCCAGATGGCAGTTTGTGTGTGCACAATTTTGTTTCAGTGTTTATATATACTGTCCGATATCCAGATTAGGTTAATGATGATTTTCATCCCGTATACCTACATGTACCTAACACAATCGTTTCAATTTGTTACAGCTGGTGGAGGATCCGATGGATGTTACTGTGAGAGTGCTGCTTGTGAAACATTTGAGACTGGATATTACTATTTATACCCCTTCAATATTGAGTACTGCCTGTTTGCTTCAGCCTTATCTTATGTGATGTGGAAGAATGTGGGTCGTGTCATAAATCAAGACTCCCACTTCACACACCATTCTTTACGTTTTCCAAGACTCTTTGTGGGACTTGCTTGCGGAGTAGGGATTTTTGTAGCCGGTCTGGTTATATTTATTATGTATGAAATTGATATAGGTTCAGATAACTACAGTGAGCAGGCTCTGAAAATGTTTTACATTTTCAACATAGTGGCACTCAGTCTTATGTCTCTTAGCTCACTTGCTTGCACTATAATCTTCAGGTTTGACAACATAGACGCAGATAGGCACAAGAACCCTACACGTAGTCTAGATGTTGGCCTGCTCATAATAGCAGCTCTGGGCAAATACATTATTTCATATTTCTCAATTATAGCAATTATTGCAAAGTCTGCCGAAAAATACATGGATGTCCTCAACCTTGTGTATTCATTACTCATCCTTGTCCAGCTCACGTTTCAAAATATCTTTATTATTGAGGGACTTCACAGAGAGCCAATTCATGATGAACATGCAGATCAGCACCACACAGTGGAGCATAATGGTGGACAAGAAGTTTACATCAATACAGTGGCCACAGCTTCTCAGGGCAATCATTTAGGAGCTGAACATGGGCACGAAGTTCACGCAAACCATCATGAGACACAGCCACACTCTGGTTCAAGAAGAGCTCACATGGACTTGAAGAGGAAGCTGATAAAGGAGTTTTCATTGTTTCTGCTTCTTTGCAACATTATTGTAAGTTAAATCTCTTTGTGAAAGGAAAACAATAAGCATTCCATAGGCAGGAATCTTTTTTTAAGTTAGAATTACAGTATGTTTTTTTTATTGTGCCAAACTCACAAAGCTGCATGATGTTTTACTTTCATTCTCCATGGTCCCTGTGTGTGTTGTAAAGTAAACACTCATCCAAGCTTGCTCATGTGATGGACTACAATCTCAATACAAATTAGTAAACTAACTGTGACATTGTAGTCCATCACGGGAGTGAGCTTGAAGCGGTAGCTACTTTACAACACACACAGGGACCATGGGAAACAAAAGTAGCGACCCTCCAGAAGGAAGGACAGTGTCAGCACCAATTCAGAGATCACAGAGGCCCAGGCATAGCAGGACAATAAGTATGGAGCTACATTTTGTTACTCCCGGCAGATGCCACTCTGATCCTCATATCTACTACTGTCAGTTCTCCTCGTGTATCGCTAGCATATAGCCAACAAATAGAACTGACAGCAGTAGATTAGAGAATTGGAGGTGCAGCAGCCACAGTAAGGCTTAAGCAACAGAAGGACAGATCAATCCCGAAACCCCCTCACTGAAAGACAACCTGACAGCTGACAGTTACTCCACTCAAGGTCCCAAGATTTTACACACACACAAAATCAAAGACATTCCTTCACCCTGTCTGGCAGGCATTCCTCTCTTCCCCAACTTTTCCCATTCTGGAATGGGCACACATTTGCTACTACCTTAAAGCTGAAATCAACTAGTTGGTGAGGGTGAGCTTTTGGCATCATGGTTCAACTACTGCCTACTTTGCTGTCCTCCAGAAATAATGAGTTCAGGATCCAGTCACCACTGCATCTCGCACCCCCCACCCCCATCTCTACTTCTGGGTCTCATGGTGCTCCTCTTCAGCCATTGGACTGCCAATGATAATACACAGAGAAGTTACATTGTCCTGGCACCTGGTTCTATTCTCAGCTTACCTAGAATAGACCCCGGCTGTGCAGTGCATGGTGCATTAGCAGTGTAAACAAAACACAAAAAGTTACCAGGAGCCATGAAGAAGGTTTTATGGCAAGAGACTTTGCATGCCTTTTGTGCTGAAAATCTCTACCTGCTGGTGACTTTTTGTTTGTGGGACTTGAGTTCTGCTTTAAAAGTTACAATAATGTAAAACTACTAAATCCCTGCTATAAAAAATGGACCAAGTAAGGCCCGGATCTGCATTATGGTAACCTAAAATTTTATTTAACATAATGTTTAGAAAAAAAGTGTAACTTAAGTCTTGCTGTTTCTTCTAATTGCCTGTGAGTGGTGCTAAGTGAATTAGAATGTTCACATATAGCTGATATTAAGAGCTGCTTATAGACAGCTATAGTTTATTTGTGGTATTAAAGACATGATAGACCCAGCAGAAGGAAACAGGGACATTTAATGACAGTTTTCCCTATCCTGCAGCTGTCATTTTAAATGTCAGTTAGAGATATGAAATTAAAACTTCCCATGCAGTTTAAAAAAAAATAATATTATATCATATTAATCCATTACTATAAGCTGTTTTTAATATAAATGTTTCCTTATCTTTTAGTTCTGGATTATCCCTGCCTTTGGAGCCCGTCCTGAGTTTGACAATGGCCGTGAACTGAATTTCTATGGGAACACAATGTGGGCAGCTATTGTCAACATTGGCCTTCCTTTTGGGATCTTCTACAGATTGCATGCTGTCGCCAGCCTTCTGGAAGTATATGTAATATCGTGAGCTCATTGGTATATATTTATAATATTATCCTAATAACTCTTATGATCATCGTCACCATTATGGAAAAGGAAACATGTGACTGCAGATGACACTATTACTGTGCCATCTTACATTCCATAACATCATGTACATGGAAAAAAGGAAGCTTGACTAAACTCTCTGTGATTATTTCTACCTCTGGCATTGTATTTTAAAATTATCTAGTTATAGTTGGAAGGAGCTGACTCGTCTCTGATAAAAATTAAGCAGGTTTTCAATCCTGGTGTGACTGAAAACATAAAATCCTCGTTGCTGTATGTTTTTAATTATTTGGGTTTTGTTTTCAATTTAAATTAATGGAATAAAACATCATCACCTGATAACTTCACTGCCATCAGATTAGATCAACTCTATATGATAATGGCCCTTTTCATAAGGTATCTTTTGTGTGAATTAAAGTGTATAATCATGTGAAAAAGTAAGAACACCGCATATAAATTGTTGACTTTTTAACATATTTGAACAGGCAAACATTAGATTTGGATTCAAATAGTTTCTACAGATAAATGTGACATAGGTGTATTCATTTTCATGATCTAAATTAGCAAAAATGCTAATTTGTCATATGGAAAAAGTAAGTACGTGTGAGTACATTTACCACCGCTTCAAATGTATCAAAATAGAATCCAGTGTTCTCGGTTTTGTGCCACTGATTTGAACCTTCTTAGGGAGTATGCAGGTAGAATCTGTCTTTTTTAATCCTGAAACATCTAAGGTCTGGTGTTCTCTTGTGTTCTGCTATTGACATGTGTGCTGTCATTATGCCAACATGAATAGCACTCTCTAAGGCCCCCAGAAAGAATGATGTGGATGCGTATGAGTCTAGCAAGGGTTTTAAAAACATTGCCTAATGATTTGATTTAAAACCTTTACCTGTAAGGAAAGTAATCTACAAGTAGTGTAGATTTTGAACAACTACTGTCTGGTCCAGAACTGGACCCAAGAGCGGACTGTTTTAATACGGAGTGTTCAAGTAACTCTTGCAACATTTTGGGTCAAACTGCCTGCATCTGCAAAAATAAACAAAACATTGCACCAATTCTATCTTCATGAGAAGTGTGTAAAGAAAACACCCTTTCTGTCTAAAAGATTAAAGCAACAGTACAGTTTGCCATTAAACATATAAGTGTAGCCACCCTGCCCTAAGCAGGAGTTTCTCATCAAATGTGCTGCCTGGCTGAATCCAGCTAGTTCTGAATTGGTAAAGTGTGCTGGTTTTCCCTAAACCTGGTAAGATTGACTGCTCCTACCTGATACCAGGAATTGTCTCTGGTAATAGAGTGGGGAGGGCCAATAGAGACAGTGTATGGATATTTATATCCTTCTCTGGCCTACCAATAGGAGTTTTGTTGCCAGTGGTGCATGCTGGGGAAGGACATAAATATCTGGGGTAAACCTTGGCAGAAGTCTTTGGTCTTTTGTCCTTCCCAGGCCCTGTACCTGAAAAGGGGCTGTGCTAGCCCTACTCTTCTGCTAGGCCTGATCCCTAAAAGGACCTATACGTGTCTTAAAGAAAGGAACTGGAGTTGGGTCTGAAGCTCGCTTTGGGTACAAGGGGAAATTTACACATGTTGGAGTGCCAGGGGGAGGTACTGCTGAATTACAGAAATGCTGATCTTGGCTTAGAGGCCCTCTGATCAGGCCATCAGGAACAATGTACTGAAAACTATTCATTCAAAGATGCAGTTGTTTGGTAACAGTAGACATGCTTGCACAAGCCATAGACAGTATTTCTGGAGAGAAACCTCATAAAAACTGTGACGCATGGTAGTAGAATTGCTATGTTTTGGGCTTCTATGCAGCTACAAGGCCTAGGCAGCTTGAAGTAAAAGTAAATAGGCTTCTCACCTTGCACAGAAAGTTTCTCCTTAGCTTAGTGAATGAGGTGAAGCTATGTTGACTTCCATTATTCCATCATGTGTAAGCAAAAATACTTTTTTTTCCTTGTACGTCAAAGGGTATTCTTTTGCAAACCAAGCTAAATGAAATATCCCATGCAAATTGCAATGTCCCTTGCAAAGTGAACAGCATATGTGCCTTGAATAAACCACATTATTTCAACTATACATTCTGCATAATATCAAAATATGCTAATGAGAATGTGAGGCAATCTGTCCAAAAATTGAAGTTAAACCGGAAATGAGTTTAAGGAATGGCTCAAAAAGAAGAAATAGAAGGTTATAGTCTTTCCTTGCCTAAGTGCTGATTTATTTCCCATCGAAATATTGTAGAGGAATTTTTGAATGACAACTCATGCAAGGAACAATGCAAACATCTTGCAACTGAAAGAATTTTGCATGAAGAAATGGTCAGACATTTCACGGGCACTGGTGGGCAGCTATATAAAATGCAAGAAGTAATTTCTGCTAAAGGGGGCATGACATGCTTTTGACGCGAAGGACTTATTTACTTTTTCTACAGTACACCATTACATTTATCGAGATTTTTGCTGATTAAATTATTGAAAAGGCAAACATTTCTTATGTTCTTATTCAAGTATATCACCTTTTACCTGTAGGTACAGTCTGAATAAATATCTAGTGTTTGCCTGTTCAACTATGTTGAAAAAGGCCAACAATTTCCATAGGTTGTGGTTATTTTTCACATGACTGTATATATAGCTCAAACTAGATTAGGGAAGGGTAAAAACCCTATCATATTATTTGTAGAATTCTGTGTTCTGTTGCTGAGATTTCCCTTCACTTCCTGTCCCGGAGGCATAAAAGGAGAAAGGAAATCATCCAAAGTTAGGGGAAGTTCCCTGCCAGACAGCTGTCACTGTAACGTGTGTCCTTATTAGAAGATTTCCCCTCACCTGTTCTTCTGATGACAACTTTAAAATTTCCATCATTTTCTGATTTAGTAAGAATGGTCCCCAGGACACAAAGAGAGAGCAAATTTACTTTTTTGGGACACAGAAAACCTGACCAGGGTTCTAATCCCTTCCCTAAAGTTTTGCCTATACATATACACATTAATTATGAGAAAATTCACAAATTGACATGATTCATATATCTGCAAATCTCATCGACTGGATATTTGAATATGATTTTTTTTCTTAATATTTAACCTCTCTAACTCTCAGTGTGTCAGCACAAGCACTTTGAATAACAGTTAGCCGATGATGAAGATTAAGAAGAAAGTAAGAATTGTAGAATAGAGAACAAAGTAGAACAGACGTGCAATAAATATACAGCTAACAGCAAGTTATACAGAAGGAAGATCTATAAAGAGAGTTTAGGAAAGCAAGATGCGAGAGAAAGAGGGGGTCGGTTTTTCAATTTGTCACCTAAGCTTCTGTAAAAAAATATGTGATTGTTGGGTGTAAGTTGTGTGAGTCTTAGGTGAAAACATAAATAGAGTCCAACATAAAATACAAAAATTAAGATCGTCAGTAATTATTTGCACAGCTGATAGAAATACAGACAGAAGGAAAATCAAAAGGGAATGGAAGAAAGGATCCCCAATGATAGGCAGTCTGTAAGGAGAAAGTATTGCACAGCTATCACAAAAAGAGACAAAGCACGAGAAATATGACAAAGAAGTTACCAAAGACTTTTTAATAATAACAAATAAAAGTAATATTTTAATATCTAGTAGGTGAGATGCACAGAGGTCTGAGCCAGAGCTGTAGCTAGCTCCTTTTGCGCCCGAGGCAAGAACAGAAAATTGTTTCCCCCTAACACATGTATGACGTCATGTGCCCCAACTCCAGAAAGGCGGTGCACATGAAAAGAACAACTTTGAATAGAGATGTCATCAGCTCACCAGCACGACAGAATCTTAAATCAATGTAAATCCATTTTATTGATAGATGTCACTCAAATGTCAAGCACTTTCGGGGCCACACAGGGTCCACTTCATCAGGCTCAGAGTTGACATTATATGAGCGGTCATTTTGAGGACCCACTAACACTTTGGGATTTCTGGTAAGGAGTGCTACAGGATTTATGGACATTGCACATGCACAGAATGTGCTGTTTGCCAAATCCAAAGTAGCTTAAAAAAATGTTCTTTGTTTGACGAAACTAATGAAAACATTTTTAGTTTCCGTTTATTTCGTGCGAAACTAATTTTTTGTCTTTTCACATGTCTAATAACGTGTGTGTGCTCTTTTTCTGCAGCCTCTGTCCTAAATTAGGAGCTTTCCTAATTCATTCAAAAACTGGTGATAGTAAAATATTTACTACCAGTCAGTTATTAATGGGTAGAAGCCTCTGTAGTGAAGGCTTCTCCCCATTGAAAAACTCATGAATGAACAGGAAGTGATATAAGGCACTTCCTGTTCATTCATAACTGGGGACAGTTATAGCTGGGGTTGTGTTTTATTCCATGACTACCAGTCAGCATTCAATTTTGAACAATTTTGTAAAAATGAATATTTAAGGATGAATGTATAACATATGGACTTAGAAAGCTCATGTACAGTGTATATAAAGTGAATACAGCAGTGGTTGTCAAATCTATAAAGCAAGAGGCTTGATAGGCCAATTGTTTCTGTTTTGTATTGTTAAATCAAACTATTGTTTTATGATTTGATATTAATAATGAATGAATCAGGATAACCATAGATTTGCTATTTTACACCTAAGTATTTGCATGAACATGTGTCTGATCTGCAGAGAATCACACAGTTCCAGAATACAGGCACTCGTAATTCAAGAATTGTATGGTTCTTTGCACACTGCACAAATCCGCGTGTACTGTATATATTTAGAAATTAAAAAAAAACTAAATTTAGTATTTGATATCCAAACTGATTCCTTCATCATTACTTATAACACTGCTGTGTATAGTATTTGTAACATATATAGTTGGAGCTAGCTTTGAGCTTTTTTAGCTTTCATATCCATTGCATGAAATAGATGTGACCAAGATGTCAAGTGATACCCAGGATTGACATCAGTAATTTAAAATATCAAAAACATTTTCAGGGTTATTCACTAAAGGGTTAAGGAGAA